AATCATAGACAGTGTTCCCAAACTTCCACAAAGTAATTGGATTTTCAGAACTGCAAGTGGTTTTATTCCAATTCAGTCATGACAGGGCCAGGAGGTAATGATACATCTGCCGTGATGCAACAAGCAGACTTGTCTTCTGTCAAAGGGTTGAAATCATAAAGGAATAAGCTGTCATTAATAACCTCTCTTCAAACACTAGAGCTGTCATCTCATTGTTTTGTTCTACTGGCTTGGGGAACTTCATATAGTCTGTCAATGAGAATTTAACTATTCTCCTTACTTTTCCGTGAGCCACTTTTTCTAAGCATACCCAAAACTATGACAAATTCTCAACATAAAACCAACTGTAGAAAATATCCATCTAGCCGTCTTTGGGAAATTCATTAATTCAATCTAAATTTCACAGACACCGCTGTGTATTCCTAATATAAATGTATTTTTTAAATTGACACTTAATGTTCTACATATTTCATAAAATTTATTTCCTTAATATTTGTATCTTGCTAGAAGTGAAAGAGGTTTTTCTGGCAATGGAACTCCTTCTTAGTCTCATTACCCCTCTTCCCCAGTCCCCCAACATTCATATATCCTCAAAATCTGTTGGTAATAAAAATGGAGAATGTGTGTGGGCTGAAAAGAGAAAAGAAATCTTTGTGTGCAAGAACAAGACCATATCCCTCCATTTATCAATGCATAAAATGATTACTGACCCACAATTAATAATATAACAATTATTATAAATTAATTAATGTAAGCCTCCAAAAGTTTATAGAAGGGTATTTCAAGACAAACTATATTATATGCACATTCTGTGTAAATATGCTATAACCGTGATGGCGAACCTATGCCACGCATGCCAGAAGTGGTACACAGAGCCATTTGCCCCGACACATGAGAGCTCGCCTGGAAGAGCCCCACTGCATATGCGCGTGCACCGCCACCATCCGACAGCTTATTTCGGGTATCTGGTGCGCATGCACAGGGGAGACACGCGCACATGCGCAGAGATGCACAGCGCCCGTGCTGGGAATTGCAGGCATATGTGCAGGCACACGGCAGGATCATGCACGCATGCACAAATGGATGCGCAGAAGTGATTGCGGGTGCATGCACAGAGACGTGCAGCATGTGGAAGTGATCACGCATGCATGTACAGGTGTGCGGCTCGCGGCAAGGGGGATCGCGCACGCATGCACAGATGCAGGTGGTGTGGGGGAAAGCGTGCATTGCCTTTTGGGTGCTGGCACACGAGCATGAGCGCATGAGCACGTGCACAATTATTGGCATAGGAGCCTAAAAAGGTTTGCCACCACTGTGCTGTAAATTATTTCATGGACGTAAAAACACAGGAAGAAACAGGATTAGAGCAGATATTCTTTTATAATAGTTTCCCTACCCCAGAAATCAGATTGGTGTAGATTCTGGTGTGTTTCATGAAAGTTGCTAAGGCAGAACTATTCCATAGGTCCTTTGACAGCTGATATGACCCAATATACTATTATACTGTATTACTGCAATGTATTATATAGTCTGTTTTACATTATATTGATGTTGCAGTTTACTTTATATTTTTTAAAGTGTAAAGTATCAAGAATCATTGACTTTGCATTATACAAATAAATCAAATAAATAATATATTCTGCACAATCTGATTTTATGAGAAACACCAAGCTTATAATCTAATATTAAATTATTAGTGTATATTTTAGCAATTCACCCTGGGATCTTGAAATGACAGTCATGGCTAGGTTAGATATGCAAAAAGCGTTAACATGTACAGACTAAATTTCTGGAGCGTATGGTGAGAAAGAAAATGGATTTCCCATTATTACTTGATTTTATTCCTTTTGTTCAAATTCTTACAAATTACATTGTTAACTACAAGTTAAAGTGTATCATACCACTTGTTAAGGATTCTTTACATACTTTTGTTTTAATTTGATTCTGAAAACTTTGTATTCAAAGTATACTAGTGAATTGAACTGAACACAAGGTAAAAGTTTCCCTCGCACATATGTGCTAGTCGTTTCTAGCTAGCGCATATGTGCAAACATACACCATTATTATTATACAGATGATGTCAGGCCTTATTAATAATTATCAAAATGCTTTACTTAATCCTGTATACTATGACAAATTTTACTGGATATACAATAGACTGCAATGAATCTAGTATATTGCCAATCAACAAATTGTTCTTATAGAAATATGCAAAAGTGAGGGTTGTTTATTTTCTAGAAGCTTATACATTTGAGATTTTTTTTTCAAGAAAAGCATTCATTAGTAGATGTGAAAACTATGAGCTTGTATTACCTAACATCAGAGGTAACTGATGACTGAAAGTGCACATAAGTAAAAATATAAGGAACAGAATAAATATTAAAGTGAATTCAAGATCAAAATTATTATATCTTTAGAAGGATACCTATTTTAATTCTACTTAGATACTTTGAGAAAATAATGAGCAAAAAAGTAAACATTTATGGCATTTCACTCTTATCTAAACTGCAACTCCCAAATTAAAATGGGATATTTAATTTTTCCAATTTTCAGTTGTACTTTTGCTCATGTATATTAATTTCTATGTTTTTATGTAAATGAGTTTGATATGAACTACTAAACGTACAATTAAATACTTATCATAATAAAAGGTCAGCTAACAATTCCTGCCCTTCTGTTATATCTTAATGACTAAGATCCCCACAAGAAGCAAGATAAAATTCTCGACAAGGAGCTAAAGGGGAAAGGCAGCTTAATTTCTTGTAGAGCAAAGTGGGTTTTATTCTCTTAGTCCCTTGCACAATATTCTGCCTCCAGTCCAGAGGTGGTATTCAGCAGGTTCTGACTAGTTCTGGAGAACCGGTAGCGGAAATTTTGAGTAGTTTGGAGAACCAGCAAATAACACCTCTGACTGGAGATTTTATAGCCACGCCCACCAAGCCACGCCCACAGAACCGGTAGTAAAAAAAATTGAATCCCACCACTGCTCCAGTCCCATGGAATTCATTCAAGTCCTCATAAAATCCTGGGATTCCACAGAATCCATCCTATTATATGGGTACATATGTAATGTATTAGATTTAAATTCTAGAATGTTCACTTCTTATCAAATTTTCCTTATGGAGTAGTTATTGCTCATAATGGCATATTTTATAAACCCATCCTTATTTAGTGATCAAGTTCTGATGCAGTGAACAGATCGTAAAGCAAAAGGGTTACTAAGAGATCGTGTGTGTGTGTGTGTGTGTGTGTGTGTGTGTGTGTGTGTGTGTGTGAGAGAGAGAGAGAGAGAGAGAGAGAGAGAGAGAGAGAGAGAGAGCAATGATCACGGCTTGCTGTAGTCTTATTCAGATAAAGCTCTCATTCTGGCATTCATTGTTGTCAGGTGCATGAATTTTGGTGTAAATGCATGCATTGGTTGAATTTTTATTACCTATGTATTTGCAAATGGTTGCTAGCTGAGGTAGTCACTATAGGTGGGATGAATATAATTTTATTTTCCTATCCCTAATCTTCCATCTTGGTATGTAGGGAATCTAATCTTACCTTAATGCCTCCTGTTATTGCTATATCCTACTATCTCCTACTCTTTCTGAGTGATTTTAGTTGAATTGGGTCAGCCTGGGTTTTTTTGTAGATACTAATAATTAGCTATTGTTATTACTTGATGGGAAGTCTTGTTATTTTTCTGTTAATTTTATTGCTAGATTTTGTTAATACAAGTGTGGCAAAGGACAGGTTTTTAGAAATTTCAAGAAAATTAAGTTTTATTATCAATTTATCAGAAACTTAATTGCAACTAATCAGAAAATCCTTGTAACTTCAATCACAGATATTGCACTATAAAAATCAATAGGAACACATTACTATAAAACACTACAAATGCAAATTTATGCAAATGTTGTATTGCAATGCAAATTTAGTATTAAGCATCTGACAGTCCACTTGGTTCACTTGTATTTAAATGCATACTGTATTTAAATGCATTTCTTTATAAAATCATAGGAGCTTAAGTGCCTTCTAAGATCAACTTCTTATAATAAGTTTACAACATTTTTATTTGAGACAGAACCAAGTTAAACCTTTTAAGCTAATAATTTTTTTTAAAAGATCCAATTTAATAAATCATTACATTATTTTTTAAACATACATGTAACAATGAATTTCAATACATTTAAAGATTCTGAAACACAACAGAAATTGCATATATGACTTGAAAATAAAACAATAACATTTGATATGCGTTAAAACACCATACATACAGAACTGTGTACACTAACCCCCTAATTATTCCATTAAAAAAGAGATTCCCCTGAACCCTTTGATTATATGGTCAATTAAAAAGCTTTATACGCAATTCTCAGAAAACTCTAAAAGTTGTTGTTAAATTTAAATCTGCAGTATGAGTGGTCAGTTATTAAATTTGTACCAGTACAATAACTATATTAAATTGAAATTCAATTGAAATTCAAAACAACATTTAATTTCTGTCCTGACTCTAGCTTTTTGGGAAGATTGGCTTCCAACACAGTATAGGTAATCCTCACCTTACAACAGTTCATTTAGTGACCGTTCAAAGTTACAACAGCATTGAAAAAAGTGAATTACAACCATTTTTCATAGTTAGAACCTTTGTAGCATCCCCATGGTCATGTGATCAAATTTTAGATGCTTGGCAACTTATGACCATTGCTCTGTCCCAAGGTCATGTGATCCCTTTTGCGACCTTCTGACAAGCAATGTCAATGGAGAATCCAGATTCACTTAACAAACCAGGTTACTAATTTATCTACTGCAGTGATTTACTTAACAACTGTGACAAGAAAGGTTGTAAAATGGGACAAAACTCACTTAACAAATGTCTCATTAACAAAAAAAATTAGGCAAAATTATGGTGGTAAGTTGAGGATTACATGTACACCATTCAGAAACCAAAGCATGACAAACAGTTTGGGATGAGTCGTGTACCTCTGTTTTAGGAAAACCCATAAATATCTTACCTCTATAGCTCTTTTAATATAAGGAATCTGAGTGCCGCTATCCAGATCTTCATTTATAATAAGCCTTCTTGCCCATTGTCCTGCTCTGACAACACCATTGCCTTGAATTAAAATCATCAGTTTATCAGGATTTATCAGTGCATCCTCACTCATAAAGATGAAACTCCTAGGTTCGGTCTCTTCTGCATCTACCTAAAATGAAAACAACATTTAGTGAACAGAAACAATTACACAGGGTAATATAATAAATAGTCACCAGAAGAAAACAGTGGCTCCAACCAGCAATTCATATTGTATTTTTGATTGATATAAAAAATAAATGTCTAAACAATACTGCCTTATCCTAAAAATAAAAAAAGCACACCGTCCTCAATAGCAAACTGTAGACCAAAGCTATCATTATCAGTAGACATCTTTTTATTTGGCTGTTTGATTATCCTCTCTTCAAAGAGCCCAGAATGAAATATTGGAAGTAAGTTAAATTGAGAGAATGGCTAGGTTTACAGATCATGTTTAATAAAATGTAATAGTGGAGGTCACTACTACAATAAAAAGTGTGATAAACAATTTATTAGAAATAGCAATATAAAGTTATGGGTTGGGAGTATAATTTATCTAGAGATCACCAATGGACCTCTATCTTTATGCCTGTATTTACCTACATTGATAATTTGCTGCAGATTCCCAAGGAATGGAGTAAGTTTTTAGTAGTTCCAATCTATAAAGTCAGTAAAACCAACCCAGCTCATTACCTTCCAATAAGCCTTTTGTGAATAAATAATAAATACATGTGAAATGTTTCTACTACAAATTAGCTGACTTGATGAACCAAGAAAGAATATTAGCTGTGGATTAAGCCAGCTTCAGATCATTTTTGTTCAATTGTGAATCAATGTAATACTTTAAATTAGATACATAACAAACAATGTTACTCTCTCCTAGGAAGATGATGGACGAAGAATAATTTTGTGGTGTTTCTTTCCACAGCTACAATAATCAGGTAGCTGGCAGTTGGCTGGTTTTAAAAAGCTGTACTTTCAAAGCAATTTTGTTTTTTACTTATACATTTTTCCATTCCACCACATCTTAGAGGTTTGTGAGCTGATCTTTCTTTCTCTTTCTCTTATCCTCTGCAGATAGTTAAGACTGATGTTTATAGCTTTACATGTTAGAGAGCCAAATAGCAATAGCAAAGCACTTAGACTTATATACCGCTTCACAGTGCCTTACAGCCCTCTCTAAGCAGTTTACAGAGTTAGCCTATTGCCCCCAACAATTTGGGTGCTCATTTTACCCACCTCAGAAGGATGGAAGGTTGAGTCAACCTTGAGCCTGGTGAGATTTCAACTGCCAAACTGCAGGCAGTCAGCAGAAGTAGCCTGCAGTACTGTACTCTAACCACTGCACCACCATGGCTCATAAATATAAAAGTATGAGAGAAATGTTTATTATAAAGATCTATGCATTATAAAATGTTTACTTAATCTATCTGCAAACAAATTAGTAAGTATGTACCAAGGCTTAGACAACCAAGCCTTTACAACTTCAATCTTAATTTCATTTGGAAACATTCCTTCAAGCCAAATTGTCTTCAAAATGTCTTCAAATATCAAATGAAATTTTCACTAAATTATAGCTATAAAAAGGTCGTAGTAGTAGCCCAGTCATACTTTATTGACAAACTAAATTAGCTTTGTGACAGTGTCTCTAGAAATTTTTATTTTCATGATATAAATCTCCTCATTTTTCTTTTAAATGATCATGATACTAGGCACAAATTGTTATGGTCATGATTTCATTTAAAACTTTTTAAAAACTTTAAAAATCAAAGAATAATTATATAAATATCAGACAGGTGCTCAGTCATAAAACCTATTGTTGTATTGTCAAAAACATCTTTTCTTTTCTGCCATAAAATTTGCAACAGTTTCCATCATGAAGCTTCACCTATCTTAGAAAATGAGATAATCCAGTGATCTCAAAAGCCAAACTGTCATGTTGATCACCAGAGAAGCAGATACAAGTTTGGACGAACTGCAGATTTTCTATTCACAACAGTTAATGAAGAATATCCATTACGAATATTTACAGCATAGCATTATTAATTTTATTCCATTCAATGTCAAATTTTACTTCATTCAAAAACTCAACGCTATGTTCTGTCCTCAGAATTTTTTTAATTTAAAGCACATACAACACATTTGGAGCACTGCAAAGCGAATAGGAGATTTGTAGTAATAGTTCTTGCCATCACGAAATCTGCATTAACAGTTGAGTCTTAATCTGGAGACTTATCTGTACAATAGATGCACATTACACCCTGTACACTTTACATCTGGAATAAAGCATTTAACCTTGAAGTCATGCTTCAAAATTAAATATAGCTTGTATTACATGCATGTGTATAAATTCACAGCCTCTTTAACTTGTATTATGTTCCACCCTTTTCCAAACTAAGCTAAAATGAAGCAGCAATTGGAGGCAATAACTGGTTGTATTATATTCCCACCAATATCCAGAACAACTCTTTTTTTAAAATATTAACAAAATAAAGGACTTCTATTTTCCAGTGAGATTCATAAAATTGAGAAAAAATTCAAACCAAATGAGTTCTTTAACATGAGCAATAATAAAATTTCTAAATTGTCATTGTTCAGGAATGGGTTTTTACAAGCCCTCACAAATAAAGTAATAATAAAAAATCATTTCCTTACATTCATTTTTACAATTTAATGTACTTTAAGAAAAAAAAATGTATATATTTAACTTACTGGGACATATACTTTTTTCAAATGGCATTCTTCTTCTAATAATTCATATACATATTTAGTGATGATCTACAAGAGAAAAAAGTTGTATAATATTTACAAATAGGTCTTTTTTTGTAAAGTTTTGTAAAAAATTGCAATTGGTTTATCAAGCTACTGTTTAGAAAAATACAATGTATTCTGCAAAGTGAATAGTTTTTTAAATCTTCTAGTTAAGAAGAAAAAAGTTCTGCCTTATAGCCTCAATAAATGTGTCCAGAAATATATATGATCTAGGATTTTGCTTCCTCCTGCTATGTGAATAATTTTGTTAAAAATTAAGGATAAAAAAACATTATCTATTTAATGCATAGTCAATGGCACAAAGAGAACTCTTTGATTAATTTGTTAAAACTATTTCAAACACTTGGCAGTAAGCATAGAACAATTTCTTCGAACAATTTCTTTTTATTGTGGCATATCCAAATCTTGGCCCATGTAAACAAAGAGTAGCAGAAGGGACAAATGTAGGAAAGCCTAGATAAAAAAAAAGAATCACATAAAGAAATACTTTAATTATTTCTCTTGCAAAATCATTCCAGATGTTACACTCTTTCAATGGAGAATGAAAACCTAGTGGAGAACTGAACTTTACAATGGGCTGACTACTACTTGAAATATCTTTAACCCAAGATGCCCTTGTTACACTTCATTTGTAAAATATACTAGTCCTGCCTCATGCACAGAAGCAGCTGAGTGACTTTGGGCCAGTCACTGTCTCTTAGTCCAAGGAAGAAGACAAGGGCAAATCTCTTCTGAAAGTGTTGCTGAGAAAATTGCAGGGACTTGTCCATTTAATCATCAGGACTCATGGCTGACTCAAAAGCACAAAAAGAAAACCATAACCCGAAACAGTTTAACAATACATATAAATAAGAATATCTACAACATTCTCATCTGGGACTTTAAGCAGACACAAACCAAAAGCCTCCAGGTTGTAAGATACTAAACCATTTAAACAACTAAAAAAAATAACAATGGAAAAATATTATGTCTTTTTGTTTTAAAATCTAACCATTAAAAAAAAATTGAACCACTTTCACATTCAAATATAAAAGACATTTTATCTAAATTAGTTCCCAAGCAATTATTCTGTCTCAAACACAGAATTGATTCATGTTTTCAGCTGTTAAACCAAAGTGTTTTAATATTTAACATATTAACAATGTGTTGGACCTCTGCCAGACATAGCATACTTCATAAGGCAAAATTGTACAAACTATTCTTGATGCATAATTTTTGATGCATAATTTTTAACTATTTTTTAGTTAAAAATTAAAACTTAACTATTTTTAACTATTATAGGCACAGAGTCAAAACACATCTGTAACATTTGGAATATAAATTATTGGAGGGTCATAGTCTGTGAGGTAGGCAGCCATATAAATCGACTAAAGAAATGTCTGAAGATGATTTATAAAATAAATTCTACAACATTATATATGCAAATATATTCTAACAGGTATTTGGCATTATAATTGCTCCCAATATACACATCACCTTTTCCATGCATAAAACTTTACATTTAAACTTCATACTAACATATTTAACATTAGGATATGTAATATTTCACACTATGCTCTTGTGATAATAGTAACTATAATTGGCTAAATATCTTGTTGTAAGATAATAATTTTATTAAAATGAGAGATCCAGAAATTGTAGATTTTTTCATATGAAAAGTTATTTCATTACTATATTGATATAAAAAAACAAAGGCTTGTGCTGTAAAATTAAGTTTGAAGTGAAGAAAGTTTAAAAATTAACACTTTAATCATGTCATGTATTTTCTGAGATTTAAACAAATTAAGCAAGAAGATATATATAATGAAAATATATACCAACTTTAGATTAATCAAGCAATAGTTTTTAAAAAAAGCATTGTTCCAAATTGTACAATTTTAAAAGATGAAATTCATTCCCTACAGCAGGGATGTCAAATTCAAGGCCCACGGGCCAGATCCAGCCCATAGGGTGCTTAAATCTGGCCCGCGACGCTGTCCTGGAAATAGCAAAGGACCGGCCTGTAGTGCCTCTGGCAGCCAAAATGGGGCACAGGAGGGACATGTGGATGGCCCTGTGCTCTGTTTTCAGCCTAGACAGCCTCCTGCAGCACCCTGCTAGCCAAAACAGGGTGCAGGAGTAGCACGGGTCACCACCACACCTCATTTTGGCCAGCAGGATACAGCAGAAGGCATCTGTCCGGTCTCCTACCCTGTGCCCAGCCCACAGAGAACTACAATGCTGATCTGGCTCTCAAAGAAATCCAGTTTGACACCTTTGCTCTACAGCTATCCTAGATATGCAATCTCTATTACAGTCAAACTCAAGGTCCACAGGTCGCATCCAGCCCACATGTGGTGCTTAGATCTGGTCCATGGGGCCACCCTGGAAACAGCAGAAGACTGGCTCGCGGTGCCTCTGCCAGTGAAAATGGAGCTCGGTAGGACTGTGCAGTCTTCCTGGGCCCTGTTTTCGCTGGCAGAGGGTTTCAGGAGGTCATCCCGGGTAAAAATGGGGGCCGGGAGGCCATGCTCAATTTTTGCTGGCCGAAGACTAGCAAAACAAACTAAAAACAAAACAAAAGGAGAAATGTTTCCCCTTTTGCATTTGAGTATGCAAGAAGGGACAGGAAAGGAGAAAGGGAAAGAGGAAAGACAAAGAAAAAGAAAAGAAGATGGAAAGAGATCAAGGAAAGAAAAATAAGGAAAGGGGAAGGAAGGAGGAGAATGAAGAGGGAAGGAAAAAGAAGAAAAGGAAGGAAGGAAGGAATGGAGAGGGAGGGGAGAAGATTATAATGAGAATGAGAAAGGGTCTGAGGGAAGTCATGCCTTAGCACTTGGCCACCACAGGTGCCCCTGACATGAGTGATGTTGAGCTGGCGACACCCAGCCTGACCACAGCCAACCTGGCCCCCCAAGGTCAAACACAAATCTGATGTGGCTCTCAATGAAATCAAGTTTGACACCCGTGTTCTATTACTTTCTCTTTAATAAATTGTTTCTACAATCAGTTGTAAGAAAATTTAAAATTCTCTTGGCCCTTGTAGTTTTCTAGTTCTCTGGAACAAAGCAGCCTGGATTTTAATCTTCTATTGGAGATTTCAGTTGAAGATTTTTAAATCAACACTCATCACTTAATGAAGCAAACATTTTTCATCCCAAATATGATAAGATGTTAGTATTTGTATCCAGACATTTATTTGATAAACATGAGTGCTTAGCTACTAATAGCATTTTTGCTGATAGAATAAAATATTTTAATAACTGCTTTGCATCCCGAAATGCTACATTTCTATATAATCATCGAAGTTCTAGTAATATTGGATGCTTGACATAATTGCTTAAGAGGCAGAATCTAGAATCTTAATATCCAGAGAATCTTATCTCTCTGAATATTAAGCTTTCAATATAGTTTCTTGGAGATGTTCAAAGTAAGCAAAAGTTAATATCAATTTTCTCAAAATTTAAAAGTTTAGATTGAATTGTTTTATATCAAGTATAAAATCTAAAACCTAAATCAAGCATTATTAATATGTGTTGTCATTTTAAAGTTATGCTATGACCATTCCAATAGTTTATTTTTATAATTGTTTTATATTTTAATAATTGTTTTATATATGCAATATTTTAATTAATTAATGTATGCCTCCCAGAGTAATTTCTGAGTTTTTGTGATAAATATTCGGTATCACCTTTTCAGTTTGCAATCAAATTTTTTTGTTTATATTAGGACTCATGAAAATATTAAAAGGATCATAGTAGGGGAGCAGAATATAAGATTCTGTTATATGCAAATGATATGTTTTCTAGGACAAAGAGAAATGTCCATTCCTAACTTTATTGTGCTAACATGAGTTTGGACTCCTATTTGATTAGTTTGTAAAGTTAAAAGAAATCAAGTTAAATATAATTATTTATCAGTAATAATTTCAGCATACTTAGGGATTTTGGGGAGTTAGGTTGTGTTCCATCCAGCTCCTTTATTTATTCATTTCTAGATTTTCTCTGCCTCTCTACACCAAAATAGCAGTTATCCCAATACAAGAATTCCCAGAAATCTTACTTAACTAATACATGTCATGTTTCATCTTTGATTGGCATCAAAACTGTGGGTAAAATAAATATGATCAACAAGCATTTAATTCTGAGACTGATCAATAAGATATTCAATGCTTCCTTTGATAGCTTTTTAAAAAATATTCGCTGTTATTACAACTGTCAGCTGGGAATGTGGATTTTATTTTCTGTACTTTTAGCTTTATATTGTTTTCAGCTTTAAAACAGGACATAATGTCAAATAATGGAAGAACTGTGGAAGAGCTCAGAATAGCCTAATTCAAATACTTTTCTCTCCCTTCTTATTTTTTATTCCCCCAATTCCACAACTAGTTCTGTACCATCTGCAGCCAGATGCCTCTGCTCCCAGGCACTCCTAAAGCTATGGAGGCTTCAGCTGCTGCTACTATAGCAAGAGTGCTTTATTTAAATTGTTAATTTTTTTTATCATGCTACTAAATTATGCTGAATAATCTATAACGTAGTTTGAAACCTGTAGTTTGAAAACCTTTTAGATCATTTGCAGCCTACCATATTGCTAAGATATAAACAAGTCACAGCCAATGCCATGGGAAGTTCAGTACCTAAGGTGAGGGATTTGCTATAAACAATAAATTGGTCAAAACAAGAATCTTTTTAAAAGTAAAGTATAAAGTGCTTTGAATAAAAGTGATCCTGTCCATTCTCCTGAAAAAGATAACTCCATCTGTTCATTCTTGGCACTTTTCCTAATAGGAGGAGAAAAACACTGCATTTTCAAAAATTAATGCTTCTATTACATTTTTAAATCACTTTTATGCTTTAATTGATGGATTATGTTCATCCATCCTTTATTTCCTCCCTCCCCAAATATAGTTAAGATTCAGTTTAATATTTCTCAGCATCTCGATTATCAGGTTTTTATGGAAGCTACAACGAGATAAATGTTGTGTATCCTGTTATGTGTTAGTTGTATCAACAGCAGGAAAAGAGCCAACTTTTTTAGTTGATACTTATAGTCTCCATATTAATGTTCAAACAAGATACATTTTCAGTTTTATTTGAAACTTTACTCTAATTAAAAATAGGGCTGTGTGATTTGATTTGAGGAGTTTGTATACATTCTGGAACTTGCTGCCTGAAGAAGGCTTCTTATTTCTCCCATTACTACTTTCTGAGCCTGCTGACTGAAAGGTTCAATGGCATTCCCTCAGGCACACCCGGCAGAGCTCCTTGAAGAGTCTTCCTACTTGATGACCACATGGACACATTTACAGATTATCTTTCTGCTGTACTAAACTGATGATATCAGAGGTTCTTTATTTCTCACATACTTTCAACACAAGAGCAAAAGAAGAGGTAACATAACCTTTGATCTTTATTACTTACATTCAATATCAGATTTGTTATTTTTAACATCAATGCATACTATCATTGCTCAGTCTGCCACTCCTCTAAACAATAAGAGACTAATGAATGTCTAGCTATGCTAGAGTAGATAGTCTACCTTGTGTCATCCATTACAGATGGTCCTCATTTAATGGCCGCTCATTCAACAAACAGATGAACGTACAATGACATTGAATGAGGGAGACTCAATTAGGTGTCTAATAGAAGCTGTCACAGTAGTACCACAGGCACATGAGCATAACTCAGGCACTTGGTAACTGCTTTTGAATTACAACATTGCAGAATTCTGCAGTTATGTAATCACAATTTGCAATCTTCTTGATCAGCTACCTAACAAGCAAAGTTAGGGAACCTCACTTAACATCCAGCAGTGAATTGCTTAACAACAGCAATTCCAGAATTTTTGTTGCTATGTGGCAGTCATGTGATGTTGCATTTTACGACCATGTCACTTAATGACACAAATTCCAGTCCCATTTAACATTGTTAAGTGAGGACTACCTGTACACAAGACAAAACCTGATGATCACAGTAATGAAAAAGCTTAAAGTTCAATAGAGAAATTTTAACACCTTTTAAAACCATAAGATAATATCACCAAGGTCAATACATTATGCTGGTTTAAATAAGGTTAATATCTTACTAAAATCAGATTTTTATAAATGAAATATATAAATGACAAAGTAAATTACAAGTTACCCAAAATATATCAATATTTACATGAGAAAACAAAATGAAAATAGAATCTAAAACATTATTTAACAAGAATTAAACATTTGTTTGATATTGATAAAATATTAATGAGTTCAAAATCAACACAAAAGGATTAAACATGTTAAAAAACTATGTAACAAATAAATATAGATGGAATTGCCTGCTCCTATTCATACCTGAATTTGCAATAAAAAATTCTGACACAATCACTGCAAGTTTTTGTAGAATACAGAGAACATGACATATTTTTCTTATATTTAGGCATATACATATATATCTCAGTGAATGGTTAGTTTATCCTTAAAGCAATACAATAATTTCTTGATAAATTTATTCTTTGCTTTTAAGGCTAATCAGTACCATGCTATCCTTACAATACTAAGTTTTTTTCCTTTATTTAGCCAAATATAAAACAGGCACACTGTATACATTATTACATTAATTGTAAATAATATATACCTCTCCAAGAGCTTCATAGCGTTTTTGATTCCATCTATGTAAATCTTCTCGGTAGTTAAAAACAAATGGCTCTCCAGTTTTTATATGCCTTAACTGCCCTTCTATAAAGAAAAATAGTAGTGTTAAATTTAAAATACAACTTTCAAAATGATAATTCACTATAAAAACATAATATTTCATGACACAAACATATCCATATTAAGTAGTTAGCTTATGTTCCATAAGAGATCCAGTTTGATTAAGGCACAAGGGTAGAAAGTGCGAGACTGAAGCTCAAGTTGTACCTTAGCCACAAAAGCCAGCTAAGTCACTCTCTCTATGTTTATACCACAGTTATGCACTTAGTTATGAGTGTATAACAGATAAAATGACTAAAAACAGATTCTCTCTTCGATCATTCCCTTTACACTTGGCATTGTATAAAGGAGTCAAAACAATGAGTTTTTGAAATATAATTGTGATATTGGACTGCCATTTTAGGTGACATTTTACTCAGAATCATTGGAGTTTTAAAGAGGTTTTATTGGATTTTACAGGGTTTTTGGTATGGTTTTAAACTATCTATCCTCTGATGGGA